ATATATATAAAACTATAAGCTTCATATTTCTGTCCTCCAAAAAGTGGCCTCATTTACTCCCATTTTAAGTGCCTCATTGTAACCTTGTTTTTTTTTTTTTACATAAGGAGGGACAAGTCAAAATGAATTTTCAGTGTAATGCAAATTATGACATATGTAACCCTGGACCACAAAATCAGACACATGGGTCATTTTTTTTTTAAATTGAGATTTATACATCATATGAAAGCTGAATAAATAAGCTTTCCATTGATGCATGTTTTGTTAGGATGACCTATATTTGGCTGAGATACAACTATTTGAAAATATGGAATTTGAGGGTGCAAAAAAATCGAAACATTGAGAAAATCGCCTTTAAACGCCTTCCCATTTATGTTCGCGATTGTGCTGCATTCACTCACAAAAAAATAAATGTTTTATATATTTATGGTAGGAAATTTACAAAATATCTTCATGGAACATGATCTTTACTTAATATACTATGATTTTTGACATAAAAGAAAAATCGATAATTTTGACCCATACTATGTATTGTTGGCTATTGCCACAAATACTGTATACCCGTGCTACTTCTGACTGGTTTTGTGATCCAGGGTCACATATGTAGTGTTGATTGAGCTTAGCTTGTATTGAACCTGGAATATTACATAAGGGAAAATCCACGAGTGTGCACAATTTTTATGCATTGCATGGAGGCAAAGAACCACTCAACATTAAACATATTTAAGTTTGATTCATTCTTGGAACCACAATGAGACTAATTGAACAAGTAAAAATACAGAACCTCTTTCAATCTGATATGTATGGTTGCTTCTGTGAAAAACACTGATCGAAATGAAATCTGCTGACCATAAGGAATTCTGGTGCTAAAAAAAAAAAAAAAAAAAAGCCTAGACAGAGCTCAAAGTCCCCGGTAAACTGGAATTGCGTTTCTCTTCAGGCTAAGGAATGCCTCATTCAGCCTCAGGTCAATTCACTTCCTCCTATTGAAACAGTAGCAACATCCCCATTTAAACCCCTAACCTTGAGCTTCCTGTTGACAGAATGGAAATCCCATGGATCCAACACAGCTGGCCAGTTGAGAATGTTTCTTTCTGCTCACGCTGAGATGATTACACACAGGAGACTTGACAAAAATGAGTCTCTGTGTGACTGTGAGATGTGTGCATCAAGTTCAAATAGCATTTGCCCCTCAGCTAAGAAGAGTTATGAAATAATAAAAAAAAAATCTACTTCACAAACCGAATTGTTTTTCATATTGTCCCCGATTACCTGCCATGAACACCAAGGTGACCAAAATGTGCTTTCAATTGCGCCATCCCTGCCCTTTAACAGCATGTTTCAGCATGTGTGTGTAATCGGTTAGCAAAGCACAAATCTGTGCAGTGATTAAAAGTTCAGGGGTGCTGGTCCAAGCCTCTACAGCTATGTTTCTGAAGGTTCAAACACAGGACATGAGCCGAAGATTAGTATGGGCCTGGGAGGAAGCCGGGGCTGACGTTACGGAAATTACTGCAGGGCTGGAGCTGCTTGATTAGGACTGAAGTGATGGGATTAGCAGACCTCTCCATTTTGGAAAGGTGTAGGAGGGGAGAACGACTTTGAAGCTGGCATTACTAATCACGGTGGGCGTGGTACTCTGTATACCATACATGGGGTTATGATATCAGATATAAAAAATGAAACATGATACATTCCGTGTGACTAATTCCGGTAGCATGTCACCGATGTCGTGCTTAACAGCCCTTCCTATGTGAATCTCACACCCAAACGCAGTCACAGGGGAATGGAAGCACTCAATCTTTCACCTCAGTTCTTATATTTTGATTCTGATGTTACAAAGTACAATTAATATTTTGTGAAATACCTTGTTGTATTTGAAATCATATTTGCGAAATCACACTTCTGGCTTCCCACTATGAGGCAATTACCCACCCTTGAATATGCTTCCCCCATTTGTTATTGAGGTATGAAGGGCAAGTAGGCCCATGATGAAACTCTCTGGCAATTTTGACTCTCTCAAGTCCTTAAACCTGAAGGGAATATGTTCCGGGAATTAATGAATTCAACATGTGAGTGCAAGGAAAGCGACATGAAAGTATCGCCCGGGTCTGTTTTCTCTTACAACTGCGGCTGCATTCTTATTTTGTAGCTCTCTGCTCCAGGTCGTCTCTTCACACATCTTAACATCAAAAATAATGCACTAACTGGCTGTTGGATGCTGCATTGCCAGTGCTGGCTCTGTTAGTCTAGCTGCCTCTTTGAATGGGGTGATAAAATTAGCATTAAAATGCTTCCTGAAAAGTAAATTAGCAAGCGGCTTTGATATGTCTATGTATTTATTTCTTTGTTATTGCATTAGGCAAAAAGTTTGGAATCTCTAATACTGACAACTTATTACTACAATACGGATTCCATTGTTCCCCAAATACAAAGAAATCAAAAGCCATTTTTAAACTTCAGACGCCATCAAAAGCAAAAAACATTTTTAACTTGAATGAGTTTTGATGCTATTGTGTTCTTCATACTGCATAATTTAGCTGAAGTCTAGCAAACAGCAGGATGCATTCAATGCATATTCCTCAGGCTCTTCTCATTAGCTTTTGAAGGGGTTCTTTGTGTTTCATTATTAAAACAAATTTTCACTGGTATGACCGTAACACAATTATTCTGAGACATGTTGCCAAAGCTAAAAATTACAGACTTTTATACGTTCATTGCTTCATCCCCATTGTGGCACCAAATCATTTGGACTCGGAATGAAAGTCTTATTTCTTTAAAGGGGTCCATTTTCAGTTAGACTAAAGTGGAAGGAGGGTGATTCAAGCACATGCCTTACCATGCCAAACCATGCCCCAGGGTGAATTTAGGATCACGTTAAGTGAACATTAATGTCTCGTTAAGATCAGTCCAAACGCCTCAAACATGCTGTACATCAGCTTTCTCGGAGGGCCTCGATGCGCTTGGCTGCTCACCCAGGGCAAATGAGAGATGACAAGAACCCTGCTATTTTTAAAGCACACACTTCACAAGGCATCCACTGTCTCATGCAGTCTGCTGGGTGATGGTGCAAAGAATCTCTGCTGGACAGCGGCAGGGTTAAACACCACAGCCGTGCCTGTAGGAGGCATAAGGAAAGGTCTCAGATGACAATGAGGAACATAAAGTTCATCTTACCTTCTGGAATGAGAAATCCACAGCTAAGAAACTTTAAGTGAGCTTCTTGTCCATTTAAATAGATATTTAATTATTTGTATAGAAATATATATTTTATATATTTCAGATAACCTCGAAGGTTATTACTAAAACACTTGAATGAGTCGTGTTCAACCAACTCTCTGCCTTTCTTACACAGAACAACCTCATGGACAACAACCAGGTTTCAAAAGCGGCTACTCATCTGAGACTGCCGTGCTCTCGGTTATCTCTGAGACTGGCAAGAGCAGCTTCTACTCATCTTGCTGGATCTGTCTGCTGCCTTTGACACAGTTAACCACCAGATCCTTCTGTCAACGCTCATGACGAAGGGCATCTCAGGATCTTACCTCTTTCAGGGTGTCGTGTGGAGTCAGGCCCTTTGTAAGTCGCTTTGGATAAAAGTGTCTGCTAAATGATTAAATGTAAATACTTTCATAGAGAGTACATTATGATTTTAAATGTCCACAGGTGTGTTATTTTTTCTTAGTCATCTTTTCCTGTGTAGGGTTAAGGAGTGCTGGAGCATCCTGGACATGTGGCCATTCCATCACGAAGGTACTTGTTATTATTATTATTGAAGTTCATAAAATAATTGCTACATGTAACCTGAGGATATATTTCTTAAAACATACCTGACACCTGAGCAATGTTCTGTATTGCACTGAATGTATACGGTGACAATACCGTATAAAATAGCTTCAATAAAAAAATAAAAAAATAAATAAAAAAGGTATGTGGAGAGAGTTGACCTTGACCATTTCTGTAAGACATTCAATAAGCATAAAATTCTTGCCTCAGTCTCCAAACAATCATGTAACCTTTTATAAGTCTAACTTTCCAAGGTACCATCTGAATTGAACAGGTATCACAGAATGAAGTGTTTCTTTAGTCATGTTAGCTAAAGGACACTAGTCATTTTCCACTTCATGCCATTTTGAATTTTGAAACAGTTTTATTTCCAGACTATGGGGTGAAACTCTTTCTTCTCATTATTATAATCAAAACAGTTGTCATGCTTTAGTTTGTTACATTAAAATAAAAACAAGGTCGACAAGAATACTTCAAAGACAGAAAGCAGATTTGAAGTCAACCAAATTTTAACAATAGTTCTGCAGGGTAGTCTGAGCGAGGGCTAAAAAGGATCAAAAGTCAGACAGGCATTTTCACCTGAGGCCTGTCGTGGTGAAGTCTGTCAACCATGTCTTCCAAATTGAAGGCCAATAGACATATTCGAAGAAATAAGAATATCCTCACAAAAGCCAAGGAGCAGACAAACAAACAAAAGCAAATGTCAAGCAGGGCTGCACTTCAGAAATTGCCTCTCTGTCTAAGCACCCAGGGGTATTTATCTTAGGTCCCCTGTCAAAACGGCTCGGCCATTCCTTGCAACTAATCCTACTAAACTGACTCTCTCCACTTAGATCAATGGGGCACGACGCAAAGCACTTCTGACAGATGCATACATCCGCAGCACGTCCCAGTCCCTAAACTCTGAACGCACGAGTAGACCCCGCAGTCCCCCGGTCCTCCGCCCCTTTCTCACTTACTCGTTTAGACAAGATCACAGATTCAGATATGACAGTCACAGCCTCTGAAAAATGTAATACCACTCTGAGGAAAATCTCTCAGGATTACTATAACTCCGTTAACCTGTTTATCGTGCTCTTTATTCTATAGGTTTGAATAATAAATCACTTTTGCTTTCCTCTCAGTGAGCGAGCTGGAACTTAATGATCTCCCACCTCCGACCCCCTCAGTATCACTCTCTGCACTCGCTCCTCGTCTCTCTCTCTCTCTCCCTCTTTCAGTGGCGTACTGCGCCGCTTGCCTCACAGAGCTACTGGTGGTCAGGGGGCTGCGAATGTTATCTGATTTTCCAGAGAGGGGTTTGGAGCTGGACTAAAGAGGCTGGGACAATAACAGGAAGCGGCCAGAGGAACGGCTGGGCTGGGCTGATCACTTTTGCCAGTGGAGTGGCCTGATTGTCCAGTGAGCAGCTCTGTTGGAGCTCAGACAGGTTCACATGCAGCTGGAAACAGACACCGCTGACCTGAGGATATAACTCGACTTTCAAATCAAAAGGGATTTTCAAATCAAGAACGACTGTTGAAGGGACCAAGACTCCGGTAGGTGATTTTTTATGCATATGTTATATATAGGCTTATATATATTATGCATATATATTTGTCTTTCTATTGATATATTTCAAGTCAAAGCCATGAAGTTCATTCAAAATGTTTACATCTTTTAACGACTGTATAATATTTACTGTATGTGTGTGATTTACTTTAAATTATATTAAGTCATATTTCTAAAATGTATCTTTACAAAACAAAACAAAAACTCTGATTTGAATGATGCTTCCTGGACTAATAGGAAGGAAATTCCCAAGGAACACTGATTGCCCATGGGAAGACGTTGAACTTATCTGGATGTAACATTTTACTTGGGGACAGAGAAACAATAATAAATCCTTACACCATCTGTCCTGCTTTTTCTTGAAACAGCACAGCAGTTACAGGTTATTCTTAATGTCTTATCCCATATGCCCCTGTAGGAATAATGTTTTAAGAGATGCAGAAATCAGTTCTATCTCATCAGACAATGAAAGCCGATGATACAGATTATTAAAGGTCACGTAAAACACCACAGTTCAGTCTATAAATAATATAAAACATTCTTTACGCTATGCATATAGTTGTAAATGAAGAGAGGTGTACCAGATGAGTCAGAGGTGGGAACAGGTGCAATGCACATATCAGACAGTGACACCTTTAGCGGGTCTCTGGAACTTCTGACATGGAAGATATGGGATATAATGGAAGGGAGAGTTGATGTATGTCAGGCTAAATTTCCTAGAGGAGAGAGTAGGCAGACTGCAGATTGCTGGAAGCTGCTCCATGATTAAACCTATTTTAATCTAAAGCCCACACATACACACACACAGAGAGAGAGAGAGAGAGAGAGAGAGAGAGAGAGAGAGAGAGAGAGAGAGAGAGAGAGAGAGAGAGAGAGAGAGAGAGAGAGAAAAGGAGTATCAAATGACTGGTTTAAACAACAATTGTTTTGGGAATGGTGTGCTTTTTAGTAATGTCAAATGATAAAAACAATTTTTGTATTAAACACTTCAGTGTCAATGTAATGAGACTAAATTGAGTCTCAGCTAGAAAGCTGTTGATAGCACTGCATTAAATTAAAAAAAAATATTTGTGCTGAAAGAGGTGGGTGGGAATTAGAAGAAAAATATGTGATGGTTAACTTCAGACTTGTTTGATTGGAAATGATCTACTTTGTTTCCTATGAAAAATGTAATACAAATGAAGGTCGAGAGAGTGTTAGAACTAAACTGCAGTAAGGCTGTTGTTTTTAATATTGCACAATATAAAACAACCAGAAGTTCTTCTAACTGAATATGAGCCATAGACACCTGTCAAAAGTGTTACAAAAAAGTTACAGACAAGAAGTTAAAATCGAGTTACCAAACTTTTGAAAACAACATGGCTTGTACAATATTTTGTATCAATGAAACCAACAGAAAGAAGCCAAAGCAGAATCAGCATTTGGAATTTAGTTTAGCAAACACAGACAAGTGAAGTGGTGCTGTTACATCAAGTGATCTGTTACATCAAATATTAGCACTTATGGAACACTGCTTGTACAATAAAAGTATACTCTTAAAAGTTTTAATTAACTTTTTTTTTTAACTCAAACATACTTAAAATACTTTTTTTTTTAAATCTGAAATAACCCATTAAAAACGAAATTATTTTTTACTTCATTTATACTTATTTAATTTATAGATTTCTTCTTATAAAGAACTTTTTTGGCATAAAAAGTTCTTCAAAACTGAGTTCTATATAGAATCCCATTGAACCATTGAGTGCTGGGACATTGGCATTTTGACATTTACATTTGCAGATTTAAGTATAATAACTGTTTTGAATCTTATAGCTTAGCAAAATAGTGGATAATGAACAGCATTTCCCTTTTGTCCTTAATTTGAATTTTTTTTTTTAAATCAGACATGAATAAACATGAATAAACAGGAACATCTGAGTAGGAATGAACTCAAAGTGTAGTACATTTCTTATGCAATGCCCATACATTTCTGAGCCTGTTGTTATGAATGATGGCATTTTATACGTTATGTGAAAGTAATCATTTTGAGTGAAAGAGTCTCAAGCAAAACCCCCAAGATTTAGCTATTTGGGAACACTTAAGAAGCATTAAGATCCACCTCATCTTAATATAATCATCTAAATGAGTCTAACATAAGAATGGTCCATCAAGCTAAAGCGTGTTATCTGGGATGGGAATATCCTCTGAAATTTTCAGGCACATAGTAGTCTGGATAATGTATTAGTATAGGCTTTTACAGTGTCACACAGAGTGTGCAGTTTCCCATGATTTAAAAGCATGCAGTCGAAAGATTGTGCGACAGGAGGAATCCTAATGAGACAGACAATTTAATGAAGGGATTTTATAGTTGGAGATAACAATGGATTTCTTTCTTTCTTTCTTTATTTCTTTCTTTCAGTCACACTTTATATTAGGTGTCTTTAACATCAAAAAAGTTGTTAGGTACAATGCACTTATTGTGTTTACGCAAAAACACTTGCTATTGAGGTGTGATACTGCTAAGGTTAGGGACAGGTTTGGTGGTATGCACTGTAAAAAATTATATGAAAAATAAGTTACGACAACATCAAAATAAGTTAAGCAAACTTTTTTACAAGTTATACAAGATTCAACTCATTTTTTAAAAGTCAGTTTAATGTCATTTAAGTTGAAATAACTGAAACATCCAAGTTGATTGTACTTAAAAAAAATTAAGGCAGCAACTTTTTTACAGTGTGTGTAGGTTTAAGGGTGGGTTAAGTTGTAAGGTAAGAGTCAACAGTGTAATTGATGTATATTGCAGAAATTAATTACAGATGTGGTTACATGTAGTTTTTTTTACATATAAGTAAAATGTATGTTCACAATAATTGCATTGTATCAACTGATTAATTTAAAATGTTAGTATATAATAATTAAGGACTTCCTTTCTTTCTTTCTTTCTTTCTTTCTTTGCAATATTAAACACACCTAGGTTTGTGAGGCTAACCATGTTTGAAAGACATGAATTAATGTATATATGTGTGTTCTGTTGTTCCATTCACATGGTCCGCAGATGATGAAACTGTCTGCCTGGGGGCAGATGACTGAGCCTGTATGCTGGGCAGGTATCCTGGTCGTTTTATGTACCCTCAGCATGGGAGCTGATGTCCAGCAAGCTCTGAAAACACCCTCCATGCCGAGCACAGTACTCCAAAGACATAAGAGAGATTGGAAATGGGATAAACTTTATGTGTATGAGGAAACACCTCCAAAAACCCCACCTGAAAAAATTGGAAAGGTAAAGGTTCTAAACCATAGTGCTAGTTTGAATATTATGCTAATCGACTACTTTTTCAAATTTACTTCAAAGGTTATTGAAGAGTCTTCTGAGGTGTTACTATATAGAAAGGCCTAATGAACATAATCTTTATCATCTTTGTTTGACATTATGCTTTCTTTTTTTATATCCCTCTTTTCCCTTTCTTTCTCTTTTTAGCTAGAGAATACACTTTTCTCTGAGTCCACAAGATATAATCTCTCTGGAGAAGGTGCTTATGACATTTTTTCTGTAAATGACAATGGGGATATCTTGGTCAATGCAATGCTGGACCGGGAGAAGAAAAGTACCTACACACTCTCAGCTTCAATAATCAACATTAAAAACAGGAAGATGATGGACAAAGATGATACGTTTGTTATAGTGGTCCTGGATATTAATGACAATAGCCCTGTTTTTCCACCTGACCTCTCTGGATCTATCAGCGAGTCCTCTATAGCAGGTAACAGAGTATTATACGTTTTTTTTTTTTTTTGTTCATGGTGGCCAGATGTGTGGACAGACAGATTCACCAAGAAAGACAGATGATGTGGTACTACTTGAGCTTGAAATCATGGATTTATGAAATGTGGATGTTGCAATAGTCTAAAACAATACAAAATAACAGCACTATTTTATTTTATCCAAGATAAAAAAAATATAAAAATCAGTACACTTCTCACATTTATATATATATTAAAACTACTAAACTACTAAAACTAAAAGTTACACTAAGAAAAAGTTCTTTGGAACTTTTTATTTTTGTGTTTATGTTTACATTATGTTTGTAGGATCGATAGTAATGACAGTAAATGCGACTGATGCTGATGATCCCACCACTCAAAATGGAATGATTGAGTACAGACTGCTAAATGGGACAGACCTCTTCAACATCAACAATAAAGGTATATATATTTACAGTATATTCACACACTCTACCATTCAAAAGATTGGGGTCAGTAGGTTTTTGTAAAGTTTTTAACTTAAGTATTTTATGCTAATCAGGGATACATTTATTTGATGAAAAAAAAAACAATTAAAAACAGTAATATTGTGAAATATTTTTACAATTTAAACTGTTTACAATTAATTTTTTTGTATTTTAATCTATCTAAATGTAACTTATTCCTATGAGGGGATTCAGAAAATTTTCCGCATCATTACTCCAGTCTTCAGTGTCACATGATCCTTACGAAATCATTCTAATATGCAGATTTGCTGCTCAAGAAACATTTATTGTTATTATCAATGTTAAAAACAGTTTTTTTTTTTTTCAGTATTTTGTGATGTACAGAAAGTTCAAAAGCAACAGTATTTACTAAGTTTATGAAATTGAAATATTTTTGTAACATTATAATTTGTTTTTTTTTTTTTTTTTTTGTAGGTGAAATCATTACATTGAGAAGTGACCTGGACCGTGAGAAACAGAGTCAGTACCTAATTGCTATACAAGCCAAAGATATGCCAAGTATTAGGACTGGGAATTCTGCTACTACCATTGTGACCATCAACATTAATGACATAAATGACAACATTGCCACCTTCAAGAAAGGTAAGTCAACTTAAAAACTGAAACTGAATATTTTGTAAAGACTCACTGCGTTAGACTAAAGTACATTTAAAGTCAGTGCCAACAGAACGTCATTTTTTCCTGCAGGAAAATACCATTTTAATGTGAAAGAAGACAGCGAAATCGGATTTAAAATTGGCATATTAGAGGTGGAGGACAAAGACGAGACACAAAACAAAGATCCTACTTTTACTATACAACATCAATATGATGATGAAATGTTTGAAATCAAACGAAGTAATGAGAAAGATGGAATTCTTAGCCTCAAAGTGGTAAGTATTTCAAGCTTTAAAACGTGTAAATTAACCAATTTCCACGAAAGTTATTAACCAACTTGTTTTTTTAGAATGCTGTTTTTTTTTCTCAGTTTAGCAAAAACATACTGCCATTTTGAATGTATTCTGCATTTTACAGATCAAAAAATAATACCTGAAATAAATAATAATTAATACCCAAATATTAAAAATAATGTATTTATTTAATTAATTAAGTTAAGTTAAGTTAAGTTTTACTGTATGACTGGTGCATTGTAATTCTGAATATGCCTGCAGATTAATATATAATGTACTTCAGTTTAATAAATAAAACAAAGAATGTTATCAGATTTCCAGCATGTCCTATTATATAAGAATGTAAAGTACAAAGACGGAGACATATGTCTGAACAGGGTTTTTGCAAAAGTAACAATCAGAAGGAAACTTAATCCTTAAATCCTCTACTCCCACCCCCCCCCCCCCCCCCCCCCCCCCCCCCCCCCCCCCCCAAAGAAAAGAAAATGCATTCTATAGGGCCACCACATTTCCAAATAGACTCCAGTGCTCTTTCTTGCTAAAGAAGCTATAAAAGCTTTTTCCATTGCCATGTGTTCTATAGTAAATTTAACCAATGTTTGAAGTTTAATACAGGTAATTGTTGTGTTTTCCAGTTTTGAAGAAAAGCTTTCTTGACAAAGCATTAGAGCAATATAAACTGGTTTTAAGTCATGTGATGTAGAGTCAATCTCTGAAAGAACAGAGGGAAGGGGATATGAATATTTAAGACTGTGCAGTGCTGTTAATGATTTGAATTAAAGTTGAAATTTAAGCACTTGTGCCTTTAATTGTTATTTTGCTCATTTTTCTTTCCAATCACTTACAGCCTCTTGACTATGAAAAAGTAAAGACGTACACTTTTAGTGTAAACGTGGACGAGCACACAGTGTCTACAAAAACAGATAACCAAGGACCAAACCTGCTGAAGAGAGCCGAAGTTTCCATCAATGTAATTGATGTTGACGAACCACCTGTTTTCAGCCAAACTGAATACATGTTCAGCATCTACGAGGGCCCCTTCAAGAACCCGCGCATTGGGGCTGTTTCAGCAAGGGATCCAGATAGTACCGGTTTCAAAATACGGTAAAAAGTGACCTGTATTTTTATTCATGTATCAAAAAGATGAAAGGCTTTCTGTGTTCTGCTGTACTGTCATAAGGGTTATAGAGTAAACGGATGGAAATAAGACTGAAAATGAATCTAATGATCCCTTTAGGTACTCTATTGAAGACCCAAACTGCCCTGTAGCTGTGGATCCTGTTCAAGGACATCTGTCTTTGAAGTGGCAACTGGACAGGGAGCAAGAATCCTCATACACATTTCAGGTTACAGCACAAGAGGATAAACCAAATGGTAGGATATAAACAAGCTTTCACAACTTACCCATTTGCACTATCAATCAAAATTCTGCACAGATCTTCATTTAAAATATATATATATATATATTTTCTATTCCACGTTTTAGAAAAGCAGTGAAGGCACATAACACAAATGCCAGTATGGGAATTATTTTTTTCAGGAAATAAGTTGCACTTTTTATATTATTATTAGTATTATTAAATAAAATGTTTAATTCATGCACAAGCACAATTTTTTTTTGTACAAATAATTTAAGAATTTTAGTGTAAGCCTTTCAATTAACATAATATTTGCATAATGCATATACAGTAAGTGTGTCAAAACATTTAGTATTTGTGTTTCCAAAATATAAACTATCTTGGGCTATTGTGATTTCAGTGTTAATAATATACTGGGGTCATCACAAGGTCACTGAATTAGCTCTGGCTAAATTATCTAATCAAGGATTTGTTTCAAGAAATCCAACAAACTGGATGACTTCTGGATACTGTTTTGTTTTGCTGTGCTAATTATTGTCGTTGTTGTTGTTGTTGTTGTTGTTGTTTGCAACTTTGGTTAGTACTTCGGTTAAATTAAAATGAACGCTGTAGCAAAAATTGGTAGTTAAATTGTTTTTAAATAAGAAGGATTAACAAACAAAAAAAAACTAGACAAGCCGCAGTAATACTGTATGAACTTTTGATGGAGTTCATAGACAAATAGAAGTAGTTAATAATAGGTTTGACAAGATTAAATAAAATAGGCATCTATTCATCATCATTATTATCATCATCACAGACAATTTGTTAATTTGTTTTTTATCTTCTCTGATTTCTCAGGCCTAAAGTCCTATGCAATGGTTAAACTAAAGGTTCTTGACATTAACGACAATGAACCAGAACTAACTAATGGGAGCTACGTGTATGTTTGTGAGAGTGATAAACCTGGAACAGTAAGGAATTACCTAAATACATTTCACATTATTAAATTTATAATGACTTTCCTTTAGATATCTATTTCCATAATCCTTAATTTATTACACTTTTGCAGATCATTGGGACTATTGGTGCCTACGACAAGGATGAAAATTCAGGCAGGTTCCGCTTCACCCTGGCGAAAAAGAGCTCAAACTTTTCCCTTCATGATAACCAAGGTAAGAAAAATTATATTCACTAAAATTGATCCATAGAGTAGTGCTAATCATCTTCAACCAATTTCTCTACCATTATAAATATAGGATAATGTTTGTAACATTGATTTTAAAAAGGGTGTTTCTAGTGCAGGTATACATTTTCTTCGTGATAGACATCAAGATTGTTTTATCCTTAGTCCCTGAAGTACTCCAAAGCAAACTAACTGCTGATCATTCTTAGTGTAATCAGGCATAAAAAGAATAGAAATAAACCCACCAAAGTACTCTAAAATGCATTGGGTACAAGCTTTCTAAAAGCAGCAGCCCTGCACAATAAATCTATGATCTGACACTCCATGTTCTATATGTGCCAGACTGAGGAACATTTTCAGAACACTGGTTTCTTTCCTTGCAGCTGTATAATGAACTAAAATGACAGATTACTAATTTTAAACTGGATTACAGATTTTGTACCGGAAAGTAGGTTGTTAAAGGTGCCTTGACTGGAACTAATAAACATGTCTTGGAGTTAAAAAAAATTAAAAAATTATATATCAGCATGTTTAAATGATTTTTAAAGGATCACCGACTGAAGTGACACTGACTGAATACAGAAAATTCTGCTTTGTCATCACAGTTAATTAACAGTTAATTTCAAAAAAACATGTACAAAATATGGTTACACTTTATTTCAATGGTCCACTTTTGACACTCTACTACCTGTAAGTAACTTTGCAACTACAGGTCAACTAACTTAACTTAAGTTGGGGTTAGTATAAGTAGCTGCAAAGTTACTTATAGTCAGTAGAATATCTGTTGAGGACCATCACAATAAAGTGTTAGCAGATATTAAGCAGACAGTCTACTAATACTCTAATGACTGACATGTTGTTGCAAAGTAGTAGAATGTCTAAAGTGGACCTTCGAAATAAAGCGTTACCAAAAATCCAACGCTATCTCACGTCCAATTCGAACGAATTCATTCGAGTTAAAGGTGGCTATTCGTACGGTTTATGTAAACCCCAGTGATGGGTAGATTTAGGGGCGGGGTCAGGGCTAGGTGATTCGTACAAATTCACACGAATTTGGGCAACTTGTAAATTTTTTACGATTTAACAAAAATCGGACAAATTCGGTCGAGTGAGGTAGTATGAATTCGTATGAATTAGCCACCTCATAAAAATTTTACGAATTGCCGTGTTCGGGTTGAAAAATCTTACCGATGCCAAACTTTTGAACAGTAGTGTACATGTTTTAAATTATTTATTAATGTAATCTAGAATTTTTTTTATTTATTATTTATTCCTAGCCATGTATTCAGTGACAGCAGAATGTTTCTTTTTACAACTGCAACTGGCTTTCCTCAAAATGTGCTGGAAGAGCATTTCATTTCATGCCACATGAATGCCAAAGTGAAGATTTACTCTTCCTACTATTGTGTGAAATGGGATATTTTTAGGCCTGGTTGCATTGAATTGTCACAAGAATCTCAGCAACATTTCCCTCACAGCATCAACAGAAAACAAAAGCAGAGTTCAATGACAACAATAGCACAGCTGATGAAAATGGTTGTGCTTTGCACCTGTGGCAAACATAGTCAGTCATTTCCCTTGAATAAGAGCAAAATGAATGACTGCATCTCTTCAATTATTAATATTCATTGTAGACAACACTTCGAGCATTGTGCTGAAGCAAGGAGGTTTCAGTACAGAGCACTCAGTGGAACATGTGCTCGAAATCGAAATCGCTGATGGAGGTACACCAGAAAAGAGGAGCATTAACCTACTCCAGATTAAAGTGTGCAAATGTCAGCCGGGACGACGGATGGAGTACTGTATGGCCTACGCCCAGACCGGAATGAGCGTCAGCGCCCTCTTAGCCATTCTTCTCTGCATCGTCACCATCCTGGGTACGTTTACACACATCTCTTATCTCATTTGATTTTCTTCTTTCTGTTGCAACGATATCCTTGCAAGGCCAACGACACATTCTTTATTCTTCTGTGTTTTTTTAAGGCAAAAAAAGGAAACACATTTTTAAAAACCAAAGGCATCATTTAATTAGGCCCAGCAAAACAGGTTATGAAAATTCATGACATGACATGAGAGTTGTCATATTAATAATACATGCAAACATTTTAAATCCTGTCTTTGAGGAAAGGCTTTTCTCCGTAATTTCCCAAATGGGGACGGTGTTTATTTAATTCACAATCTTTGAATCCTTTAAGTGGTGCGATTGTATAAATAACCCAGGGACCGAACAGTCTAAATAAGAGCATGTAAGAGAGGCACTTAGCTCCATATTCTCTGTCATTGTCATTGTTGGTTAGTTCACTGTATGTGATGAGATGTTGTGCACTCTCAGAAATAAAGGTACAAAAGATGTCACTGGTGCGGTACCTTTTTTTAAAAGTTACACTTTTGTACATTATTATTAACTCTAAAAGGTACATATTAGTACAGACACCGCTGTATTCCGCTGTTGTAAGTTGCTTTGGATAAAAGCATCTGCTAAATGTATAAGTGTAAATGGCACCTAAATGGTACTGATAGCAGATTTTGTGTGAGTGTGATATGAAGAGATTTTGTTTGCGTCTGTACACCATTCTGAAGTAGAAGTTTACGCTTGCATTTGCATATGTGAGAAACAATAGTGATGATAATTAAAAAAACAATCCACTCATCTGCAGTCACACCATGAGATAGACGAAAAGTGTTGACTTTCAATACTACGGCTATTTTAAAATTCTCACAGGTTCCACTTTATGTTCTTTTACTTGCGCTGTCAATACAAATTTCATAATGAGTTTAGATTACAGAAATAAACTGGAAGATGTTAAAATGATTATTTGTGAAAGAAAGACAAAAAAGAGAGATTATATTGATATTGTGTTTATTTGTCTTATATTAGTCATCGTCATCCTCATTGTGTTGCGGAGGCGCTATCAGAATGACGTTTTGGTCACCAAGTCGTCTGGCGAGATCCACGAGCAGCTGGTGAGATATGACGAAGAGGGCGGTGGAGAGATGGACACAAATGGTTATGACGTCTCCATCCTGACCTCCGCCTGTCACGACAGCAGCTTTCGGCCTGGCGTGGGGCCTTCGCTTTATGCTATAGTGAAGAAACCTCCTGCTTGTAAGGGTGACATGGCCATGATGATCGAGGTGAAGAAGGATGAGGCGGACCATGACCGTGATGGGATTCCCTACGATACTTTACACATCTATGGTTATGAGGGATCTGAATCCCTGGCCGGTTCCCTCAGCTCTTTGGACTCGTCCTCCAGTGGATCCAATTTGGACTACGACTTCTTAAATGAGTGGGGACCTCGTTTCAGGACCCTGGCTCAGCTCTATGGAGTAGACGGCTCTGATACCGATAGCTCCTACTGATCCTGAAGCCCATTGTCATCAGGTGATCGTCCTAGGAAGACACATGGAGACTGCTGTCTTCTCTTCAAGGGAATTTTTGTAAGGGTCCCTTTAAGAAAGTGATTAAGACGTGCCAATACTTGTTTCCTTCAAGCATTGTTATGAAATTATGATGAGCACTACTACTGTATTTGTAATTTTCATAGAATAAGTGTATGTTGGTAGAATAACTTGCCTTGGTATTTTAGACTGGTTTTTGTCTGCTGGAATTTTATAAAACAGCATTGGACACTGGTTGGACAAACTCACTTTTAGGCTCTATTATCTTAATAGCAGATTTGAATTTGTGTTAACACAATATATGTGTTCTTTCTTGCTCACCATTTTGTGGATGATTTTTTTTTTCTTATTGCCTATATTGTATTACTCAATCCAATCTCATGAAAAGCGTAACCATTTTACTTTTTGGCAAATTGATAAAGAATTTGTATGAATTAGTATGATAAGATTCGGGTGAAAACATTACCCACCCCTAAACCTAACTGTCAGGGAGTGGTAAATAGACCGCATGAAAACATACAATTACAAATGAGATCATACAAATTAATACAAATTTGCACCAAAACGTGAAAGTTAGTTGCAATGTTTCTGTAAAAACCCTCAGTTTGTGTTTATCTCTTTTTTTTTTTATGTATACAAATGTTTTCTGGACTCATAGTCAGAGTAATTGTGAAGCCAGCATTGTTCAGCAGACTCTTCTCATCAGGAAAACTACTGTATTGCCATGGGAGCAACAGAGGAAGTGGTGATAACAGTACTTTGAAAGAATTAAAGGCTACTCCAAGTTTATTTGACAGGAATCATCAGCACATCGATTGTTATGTATAAAGCCCAAATCTCAAAGGTCAACCATAATAAGGCAATTGCAGACGTCTCAGGAAATGTGTAGTGAGTTGTATGCCTGTTGAAATGCGAGAAGTGGTCTCAATAACTGTACTACCATGTGAATCATAAGCGTGGCTATTTAACAGCATCAAACGAGAATAATGCAAAGCTGAAATTGCTAAATGTTATTTTGATGATTGTTAAAACCAAAACATGTTGCAGGCCAGCCAGTGTCTTGACAATATTGTTCATCCTTCATTCAAGACTAAATAGACAAAAGGATCTCCTTCCATTGAAAAAAATTGTAAACTGTCTTTATACCTTAAACAATTTACCTCTGTGCACAAACCTATTTCCCCCATTAACCATGGGCACAATATGTGGAAGCCACCTTCTCCCTTTCCTGTAGGGAATTACACGCCAAGAACTGTTCTACCGTCTTGTTTAAAATGACCAGCTTCATCACTGAAATGTCAACTTCCTGTCTGTGTGAGCACAAGGAAACCCACTTCCTGTTCCCTTATCTTTCAAGTGTTGGAACAGATTGAAACCTTTTTCCTGTTTTCTTGTCTTGAAGGGATAAAGAAAGAAAACTTAGGAGAGGAGGGAAATGCTAAAGAACAACATAAATCACACTGTCTTGGTCATAAAACATTGTCCTTCAAGACAAAAGGTGCTGCTCTTGAATGTTTTTTTTTTCCACCATACTATTTAATTTGACTGTACATCTGTTTTCATCTTTTTCTTAAATTATTTTAGGGGAATATCTTATAGTTCTAAATGTATCTTTATCATTCTGGTTGTAGAATTAGATGTTTAATCAATATACTGTATAACTGCTGGGCAAATACTATTACTTAAGTGAAAATCATAGACTGCTCATTCTCATAAAGGAAATGATGTTTAATATTTCTCAAGTAAAACAATGTACAGAAAAAAACTGGAACTGTTTAACTGAAATAAGTTGAGGCCTTCAGTAGACTGTATATGTGATTGTTCCTTATTGTTATCATATTTCATCTTAGTATGTATGCTTTGAATTAGCGCTTCTTGACATAATGGCCTGTTTACAAGTGTATAGTTATGTATGAACATTTTTCTAAACAAACAGATGTTTCTGAGATTTGATGAGGAGGAGCTCCAGTAGATGTCAGTGTTGGGCAGTCAGACTAAACATTTCAGTATGTGGTTCTTTTGTATGTGTCAGAGGGTCAACAATATGTGCCTTTTTTCTATTGTTTCTAATGTTAAAATATAATTTTTTGTTTTCTCTTTTAAAACTGCCAATTTTGTATTTGAATAAACTTCATATTCCATCAAATGCTTTCACTATCCTTAATTTAAAATAAATTGTAGAATACAGTTTAATGAGAAAAACGTGTGAAATAAAAAAAATATGAAATAAGGGCTCTTTTACCTCTGAACAATAAAGTGTAAAGATAGGAGAGTGTGTGTGTCTCATTAAAGCAATGTTGTCTGGGTAGAATGTGCCTTGAGGTGAAAATTCATAATGTCTGTTGTTTATCGAGCAGACAAACAGATCACACAGATAGCAGCACGTTAGCGGAAATTCCACAGTGATGTCACGCCTAACACATCTGTGAGACACCCAGCTGGGACTTTCTGAGACTTCAGACTCAGCCATTCATAGTATTCACAGATCAAAGGGCTTTCTTACAATGAACACTGCAGGGATAATGCTATATAATGAGGAAAAATGTATATGATTTATCATCACCATTTTCTTGTACTGTCTTCTAAACGAGTATTATATTCAGTAATCTTAGTTACACATTTGTGAAAGAGTTTGGGGTCATTAAGACTGAAATAAGTATTTTTGCTTATCAATGCAGCATTTATTTGATCAAAAATCATATTAGAATGCGTATTCAAACCGTTTCCCTGAGAAGGGGAACGAGGAGCTGTATCTTGTTGTTGACGCTATGGGGAATGGCATCAGCGTGGTCAGTGTCTGAAGCATGTGTAAACACACAGCAATAATCATTGGCAGACGGCAGTCTATGGCATCACACGCAGAGTACCTGTCTATGCTCCATAGCAAGCTTCTATGCTCCATAGCAAGGGAAGTCATGGCTAGTACAACCTTCCTTCCAGACCTCTGCTCAAAGCCCCAAGAGCATAAGGGGGGATACACAACATGGCTTCGGGTATGCTCTGGTATCCCTCAAATATTGCCTGAGAAAGAAAAAAAAAAGCTCATTAATTAGAACCTCAGTGTAGACAAGCAGTGGACAACTACTTGTTTTTCTTAAATGTAGTCCAACTCATAATGCCCAAGCTACAACCTTCAGTATTGCCAACGTCCCTACCATTATTCAGAAAAGGGAGGCAAGCAAGAGAAGGACATATTGCAGTTTGCCCAATAACACTCATCAACCAGGCTCTATACCCCAAGGAAACACAGGGAAGCTTAGGCCCTATTTAAAGACCTCAATTTAACTGGGGGAGAGCAGCTCATACCCTGACTTGTCTATAAAAGCACCCATCCAGGGGAGAGCATATATCCCTACTTCAAAATCCAACAATAGTTGGGAAGGGAGGCAAACAAAATACAGGGGGCACTTGCAAACTGCTCATCCGTTTAACCTGTATCAATCCTAAGAGGGTATCTGCCAAGCAAACCATTCCCAGGGGAGTGTACAATTCTACTTTAGACCCCAACATAGGGGAGAATATACACTGAACAAAATTATAAACGCAACACTTTTGTTTTTGCCCCCATTTTTCATGAGCTGAAATCAAAGATCTAAGACTTTTTCTATGTACACGAAAGGCCTATTTCTCTCATATATTGTTCACAATTCTGTCTAAATCTGTGTTAGTGAGCACTTCTCCTTTGCCGAGATAATCCACCCACCTCACAGGTGTGGCATATCAAGATGCTGATTAGACAGCATGATTATTGCACAGGTGTGCCTTAGGCTGGCCACAATAAATGGCCACCCTAAAATGTGCAGTTTTACTGTATTGGGGGTGGGGGTCTGAAAACCAGTCAGTATCTGCTGGTACCACTCTTTCCAGTACCTTGGCCAGGAAGGGGAGGTTGGAGATAGGGCGGTAGTTTAATAGTGATGTTGGGTCGCAGTCCGTTTTTTTTTTTTTTTTTTTGAGAATGGGTGTGACTGCAGTCTTGAGGGTAGCAGGCACAACACCAGAGTTGAGGCAGGTGTTTACAATCAATGGAATGGGTTCAGTTAAGGATTTGATGCAAGCTTTAAGTAGAGGGGTGGGGTCAGGGTCAAGTTGACACGATGAGGAGTTGGACTTGTTTATAATGTCAGTGATAGTGAGGGAGTCTATAGCGGTGAAATGGGAAAGCTGAGGGCCCAGAGAGGGAGGAGAAGAAGAGAGAGAGATAGCATTGGGGTTGAAGCAGTGATAGATTTGGCTAATTTTGTCATCAAAGAAGTGAAAGAAGGCCTGGCACTGCTCAGGGGTCTTGGGACAGGCAGTGACAGGGGGTTTGAGGAGTTTGTCCAAGGTCCTGAACAGGGTTTTAGGCCTGGATGTGGAGGAGGTTATGCGCGATGAGTAATAGTTTGAGCGGGCAGCATTGAGGGCATCCCTATATGTCTGAGTATGTTCTGTGTAAAGCATGGAGTGAATTGTAAGGCCAGTTTTCTTATATAGACGTTCAAGACGGTGGCCAGCGGCCTTAAGTTTTCTGAGCTCAGGGGTGAACCAGGGGCATGAACGGTTTACTGGTACAAGCCTAGTCCTAACCGGGGCTAAGCTATCAAGCAGGCTGGTCAGGGTGCCATTGTACATAGCAACCAAGTCATCCGCGCTCGTCAAGGTCAAACAGTGGCGAGGCCTGTATAGAGGCAGCAAACATGCTGTGGTCTATTGACCTGATGTTACGACATGTAATAGCCGTTTTCTCTGAGGAGGGAGTAGGAGTGTTCATATGAAAACGGCATTCAATGAGCTTATGGTCGGAGACACCAGAGATGGAACCAGAGACAGAGATGTCATTTAGACCAGAAGAGCAAAGCAGATCCAAAGTGTGGCCATGAGTGTGAGTAGGAAAGCCAACATGCTGTGTCAAACTAAAACAGTTCAATGCAGAGTTAAACTCTGAGGTGTAAGAACAATTAGTATCCACATGAATGTTAAAATCCCCTAGCATAATCATAGCAGAACAAAGAGATGAAATAACAGTGAGAAGTTCATTCAATTCAGACAGAAAATTTACAGATGGTTTAGGGGGGCGGTAGCCTGGGAAAACCCAGACAACTTCCGGCAAATTTAGATTTGCTCTGAAAGTTAGTCTGGCAAAGAGCTCATTCAAGCCCATTTCCAATCCGTCGAAATCGCGGCACCAATCAGAAACGTTGGGGCGGGCTTTACACGATGACGACAGCGCTGGGATTTTGAAGCAGATTTTACAAAGATGGATGCCGCATCTCGTTCGAATCGGCTATCGCGTCTGTTTTTTGGCGATTTAAACGTTTCCTTTTTGTTAAAAATCGAGCAAAAAACAACACTCAGAGATGTTTCTCCGCCGCTCTGCATACGTCATCTCCTTCATCGCTCTGATTGGTTTTAGGTCTATCCGCGACGTCCGTTGGTGACGCCCCTCTGGAAAGGATTTGTCTATGACGCTTTGCCAGACCATAACTCAGTTACAACTGAGAATGGTCTGGTTTTAACCAGGCTAGGGGGGCGGTAGATTAGCAATAGTAAAAGGGGTAGGGTAGAAACAACCTTCA